TAAAGCAAAAATTGCACAAAAAACAATAAAAGAGATTTACTCCTCTTACTTGCAAGTTTGTTTGCCTCTTCATCGGTGAGCTTGGCAGCAAATCCATTGAAGCTCCTTTTGTAACTTCTGATAAAGTAATTTGCTATAGAGCTGGAGAGAAGGAGAGATTTCAAAAGAACAGTTAAAAAGGGGCTTATCTCAACAAGTAGATGTCCTACCTCTGCTTAATAACTCCTTGAAGGATGCTAAACTGGTGAGATAATGGACTGTAATCTCGTTCAGGAAGTGATCCAAGGTATGCAATGTAAACCTGCATGATGACCATCATCCATGTAATCAGAAAACATCGTTCTTCTGATCATTCATCATTTAAATAATAAACTCAATTGATAAAGCTGTAAAGATAATACATGCCTTCCTGTCTTCATCTGCAGCACCGGGCGAGAGGCTCATGCTGAGCATGAGAACGAAGGATAGGCCAAGAAACATTTCAAACGCAGACTTTGCCATTGTTCTCTGTATGACTCGAGTATGCACAAACTGGTGAATGGAGTATTTTATAATGGGTTCAGGGAAATGAATCTCTGATTTCCATTCTTGGCGACTTCAATGTCTTTCCTTTGATAGCCGCTGCATCTTTGGAAATTCTGCAAAAGTCCTGTATAGGATGAATTAAGAGTGATTTATGACCATTTCAGGCTGATATTGTGATAGGCTAAATCCAATGAATTTTCCAAAATGCAACGAACTTAGCAATTGGAGGCATTTTTGCTGATACATTTACGAGCCAATTAAGCTTCAGTTAATTGGATTTGAAGCACAATCGTCGGCTTCCTCTTTCACATGTGGAATTGAGAGGAACAATATCAATCTATCAAGACTGGCCTTTGTTTTCTATGCATTATAATGATATACATGAAGTTGAACTTATGCTACCACGAATGCCATCACATCCCATGCAAAAATAGAAAAAAAAAAAAAGAAACGTAATATTAACTATTATTCTTCCATGCTGCTTGACTGTTGCAAAAAGGTGAAACCCCCCCTACCCAAGATTTGTTAAAAAAGTGGTTAATTGGGGCAAGACTATGAACCTATCTATGGTGTGGAACCTTATAAGAAAATTGGGGGAAAAAAAAAAGGGATGAAACCTTATAAGGAAAATGGGAGAGGCTGGAAATTGATTGGGGTTAGATTTTAGTATTTTAGTTTTGTAAGGTGAAAAATCACATATTAATTTAGAATTTTCAGATTTTTCAGTAATATCAACCTATCATTTCGATGATTTTTATAGTAAAAATGTTTTATCAAAATCTTTTTATAATTGTTAGGACACAATTTGATCGAATATTTAAAAATATATTAAATTTTTAATGTTGTTGAAAATGAATTTTTGATAACTGTCACCACTCAACTTTGAATTATGGGAACTTCAATTTTTTGTTAAAGTTTTTGGTTGATTTTTTTTTAAGTATGACATGTAATTTATATTTTGATTTTAATAGCTAGACAAATGCCTCTTGAGTTTAGAGAATATAGAGACTTTAAAGTAAACCAAATAATTGTGAAAACTCAAGCATTGGGTATATCGGTTGGGTTTAGATTTGATGTACTGATAATTTTTATACACTGCTAAGTCACCAAAATGTGATATTTCACTAATGAGGTAAAATTAAAATTTTTTAAAAACTTAACAATAAAGATTACAAATTTCTTTAATTATACATAAAAAAATCATAAATAATAATTTTTTTCTCTCTCCAACTTCATCAACTTCTTTTCTTCTTTTTATTTTCCATTATGAATAAATTTGATAAAATTGTGTAACTTTTAAGAGCAAAAAGTCTTAGGAAAGTCTTAGCTTGATTTAAGGGGCATGGGTTAGGAAAGTTTGGGTTCTGAGGGGGCTCTTATTTGAGACTTTGATTTTCAATGTTTTTGCTGCTTGTGTAATGGCAGCACTCTCCATAGTGACAAGCTGGTAAGATTTCATTGATTATATAAATTGATTTTTAATTAGTTTCTTATTCATTCAGTAAACGTTATGATTATATAAATTTTAATGAATTTTAGCGATATATTTTCTAGTTAACATATTTTCAAAAAGTTTGTTCTAAGTATATTTATAAAAACAAATGAAAAATATTCTAGATTTGAAACGTTTGAAGATCTAAATATCTTAAGGAAATACTTAATTTATCCCTTGAGACATAAATCTAGGTCGATAAAAATTGATACTATTATTTGTATAACTTTAAAAATAATATCAGACTTAAAATCAACTGACAGTACGAGGATAAGCTTAAAATTATATATATATATATATATATATATTGAATTAGAAACATTTGTTTCCTCAATCAATGGAAATCTTTATATTAATAATGTAGAGGGTCATTTTAAGTAAGATCAACTACTAAGTTATCAAGCCATGAAACAAAAGTAGAGAAAAAAAATCGAAAACATCTAAATGCAATACATATTTATCTCTCAAAACAAGAACAAGATAGAAACCAATCCAAAAATTCACCCTAAAACCACCATAGAACAAAAGCCATTACAATACCAACAACAAGATAAATCTAACTCTAATTTTCACCCAATAAGAACCATCAAACAATTTCCAAATCAGCATAGAACAAAATCCATGGAACCATTATAACCTTCTTACCCATTTGTTCTCCTATTTTTCATCAATTTTTTTGTATTTAAATTTGCTGATGGGCTCAAATAAATCCACCTCACTTAACTCCTTGTCATTTTTTGATAATATTTTGCCTTCTTCACCATCCGAATCCGACATTGAAAGCTGTAACCAGGGAAATGAATCTGATCAGATTTCCATTCCTAGAGACTTGAATATCTTTCCTTTTATAGCCAATGCATCTTTGGAAATTCTACCAAAGGTATATACAGCAAGAATTAAGAGTGATTTATGACCATTTCAGGATGATATTTTACCTTCAATAAAAAATAAACGGATAGGCTCAATGCAATGAATGCACTATAGGCTGGCTTTACCATATAAATCTATGCAAATGTCAGCTATAAATGGCCACATTAATTCAGAAGGTAAGACTAAATCTCTTGCAATACCTCATGTTGTCAAGTTTTACCAATTGGAGGCATTTTGCTCATATATTTTTATGACCCAAGCTTCATGTAATTGGATTTGAAGCACATTCCTGGGCTTCCTCACTCACATGTTGAAATGAGAAGAAAAATATCAAATATTAGGAATGGCCATTATCTATGCATGAATGCCATCACGAAACATGCAAAAAAGAAAAACATAATATTAAATATTATTCTTCCACGTTGCTGCATGAGTATTGTTGATAAGCCTATAGTTAGAGTGGAAAAAAGAAAGAAAAACAGATTGTATTGGCAGTTTTGGAGTAGGACAAGAAATTGGGGGAAAAAGGGAAGAGAAGAGACTGGAATTTGAGAAAAGTTATTATAAATACATACGATGGAATTAAAAATTTATATAACCCATATTTGGTATAATATTTACTAAAGATGTTGCATATCTGATAAAGACGACAAGTCAGGCCCATCCTCTATTGTGATTGATAGGAATTTTTCATTTTAAGACTTCACAATAATTGTTCCTTGTCTAATTAAGGGTTACTTCAGAAAATTTTGGCCAACTTATTGGCCGGCAGAGGAATAAAGCTAGGGGAGTACTAAGCTTCTTGGGACATCAAGAACAAAAGATTCTTATCTTGGCCTAATAGAGGCAAAATCTTGATGTGATCTTAACACCATCACTTTAATAATATTTGAAGATTTGTTAGTATCTGAA